TATACAAGTGAGGAAGTATATATATACAGACTTTCTACTTTCGTTTTCTTTTTTACATTATTCTCCACCTCCTAAACATTTGAAATAAAGGCACCTCCTCATCAGAACTATCCATGTTGCAATAAACAATTTATAACAATACGGTCATACAGCTATAACCCATACTCGATTTACAGGGTGTAACAGAAATAAGTCCCGAGCTTGCTTGAGGAGGTGACAGGGAACTTATAAAATGTGAAAATTAAGTAAATGTAATAGCAGGGAACACTGGTTCCTCTCACGTAACAGTGTGCAAATTTTAAAGGAACAGTTGCTGCATACTTATCATTTGCAGCAAGTGCAAGCCCTGCTTGAAACTGATTTTCAGTCGCGAGTGTTGGTGGTTTTGAAAGAAAAGTGGAATTTTGAAATTTTACAATAATTATTATTGGTGTGGCGCAACTTCACATGTCGTACATGCTTCGCGATTTCAAGAACTGTCTTCGGTAAATGTGTGGTGAGAAACTGTTTGGTAAGCTAATTACAACCACTCCCAAAAAGGTAATGCGCTTTGACAATATCCCAATAGTGGTGAGGAAATTTGCCTCAATAAAATTACAATTATCCAATATTGTACCTATTTAATTTATTTAGTCTAAATAGTCTTAGACGTTGGATAATCGGCAATGTTTACATTCTCCGTTCATGTAGCTGCAGAGTTTTATTCGGTAGACATCTATGTTGCCAATTCACGCACAGGGTCGGGTTTGGATTTCCCCAGAAAGTTTTAAAAAGCGAATTTCATACATATAGCTTTTTACTGTTCGTTTCAAGAAGTTTGAGATATGCCCCTTCCCTTTATTAGGATGCGCTGTAGCATAATTCCAAATTCAATCATATTTGTCTGCGTAGCTCATTCCTTCACCGATCATCGAGCGAGAGCTAGACAAAAGTGTACAGTACCATCTGCAAAATTATTTAAACTGCCCCGTTAAAATTTACGAATATGCTTTATTTAAAAGCATATTTAGCCAAAAATAATAACAACTGAATTAACTTAACGTTCTACACACCTATAAAACTTTTGCTTTGTTTTCTATTGTCAATTTATATACATTTTTGTTTTAAGAAATTGCTCAACATTTTCGTCTAGTACT